CAAGATATTTATATAAAATAAAATAATATAAAATCAACTATAACAAATATAACAAAGAGAACAAATAATATAACTATAATAAATATAATATATATAATAAATATGATATAATTAACAAATATAATAAATATAATTCATCTATTTAATATGTCAACTTGATCAACGTTGATAACTTTAGCAACTTTGTCAACTTTGTCAACTATATCGATCATTTAGATCATATGACTTTATTTTAGCACAGTCCTAGATTACAGCTTCAATCCTTTCCTTCTAAATTTTGAGCTCCTGCCCAAATATCTATAGCTTTATTTACTAGAGACCAGTATACGTGACTTAGGAGTTGATAAAGATTCTTCAACGATATATATTTCGATCGTTAAATTTGATCTACACCTAGCATTTCATAAAGGTAGTAAATATGTATTGAGACAGAACTATAATATTTAGTGACAAGTCCTCTCAATTGACTTCATTATGCTGGTAAAGAAGTTTCTGTTTCTAGAAGTTTTCCCAAGTAATAAGCGTTTATCAAGGAAAAAGTTCAATCTTTTATTTGTGAAGCTTTTAATAACATTCGATATGTTAGTTGAAATTTCTTTTGTAGTTCCATTTTACTTGAATATGGAGAAATAGCAGGAGTTATTTCTTCAGGTAGAGTTTCGTTCAAATCTTCAATATAAAGTTATTCCATAATAATAATGAAAAAAAAAAAATAAAAAAAAAATCTAAATCTGAAAAGGAGAGTCTTTATATAATTTTAAAAGATCTCTATTTACTAGACTATGAAGTATACGACCATCTAATTCTCTTATCTTGTAAGAGCCATTTAATAAGATTTGATGGATATAATAGGAGCTTTTCCATTTTTGATCCAATTTTCCAGAATGGGTTTTATCTTTTACAGCTTTGAAGTACAAAACCTTATCTCCAATTCATGTGAAACAGAGATCTTTGTGTTTTTGTCATGGTACTTCTTTTGTTGCTATTGTGCAAGTTGTATTCGTACTTTTACATCTAGTCGTATCAGGGGTAATTTGTTGATCAAATGATTAATTCTTTCCTGAATAGTAAAATTCTGGTTGATATAAAGGTCATTAGGATCATCAGAATTATCAGTAGGTAATGTTGCATTTTGCCCATATACTAAATAAAAAGGTTTAATTTATGTGGCTGATTGTTTACTTGTATGATAAGTAAATAGGATAGGAGAAATATATTGGTCCCATTGCGTAGATCTTTCAGCCAATTTTGCTAATGATTCACATAGAGTTCTATTGAATCTTTCTACTAATCCATTCGTCCTAGAGTAATAAGAAGTGGATAGATTATGACGAATATGAAATTGTTCCATCAATTTTGTGACTAATTGATTATTAAAATGAGATTCCCTATCTGATAAGATCTTAGTTGAACATCTATGTCAGCAAATAATATCCTCATATAAGAACTTGACGATACTTTTAGCAGTGTTATTCCTAACTGCTTTAGCTTCTAGCCATTTTGTTAAATAGTTTATGACAACAATTATATATTTATTTCTTCTACTAGTTCGTGGTAAAGATTCAACAAAATCTATTCCAATTCTATAAAATGGTGAATCAACTGGAATAGAATGTAATTCATTTTTCATTTTAGGCCTTCCTCGTTGTTGGCAAGCATTATATGATTAAACATATTTTCTGATACTTTCATACATTTGAGGCCAATAATATCTAGTACAAACTTTGTTAAACATAATGTCATTAGAAAAATGTCCAGCTGTTGGATCATTATGCATCATGTAAAGGATTGCATCTAATTCAGTTTCTTTGATGACCCTTAAAAACTGTTTAGGAGCATTTCTTTGTCTTTGCTTCTTATATAAGAAATCAAGTCGAACTGTATAAAATTTTGATTGTCTTTTTAATTTTGCAATTTCATTTGTGTTAAAAGATGTAGGTAATTGATTTAAGGTTACATAAACAAATAAATTATTATATTGATTGGGTTTCATGATGTCTGAGCTGCCTATCACAATGTAGACACTTTCGCTTTTACTCTAAATAAATAATTTTTATTAATAAAATAAATATGGGTATGAAACAAAATATTTAAATGTGGGAAACAAGAAGACGTCAAGGGTTTTCAAGCATATAATAGAGTTGAGAATAGAGGTTTTCTTATTGAACTAAAATTGGTTCATCCCACTAAAGATCATTAATTAAATAGTTAGGGTTCATATCCGGTTGAATTTGTTCTAGGCTAAATCCAATGATACAATGATGTTCAATTGTTCCATATGGCAAATTTCTCTTACAGGCTTTGCAATATGTATGGATATGATGGTTTCCAATGTCACAACTATAATTATATTGTGATCCTCCTTTAATTATTGGTTGATTAGCCATAACTTGCTTAATCTTAATATTTTCTTTAAAAATATCTTCCAATTCATTCTTAGGATATTGATATCCTACAGTGATTAAAGGTACATGAGAGTACTGTGACATCAATTCTTTCTCTAAATATATTTCTTCTTGTGATCATTCTGATGACATTTCACTATTTGCAGAAGAAATATGCCATTCTATTTCTTCATTATCATTTTCATTTGTTGTAAGCATAAAGACTTCTTTTGAAAAATTATCTTGTTCTTTTTTAGAGATTAATCGAGATAATGCATCAGCGTTAGCATTATTTTTCCCAAGTCTATGTTGAATATTAAAGTCATATTGTTGTAATTCTATTATCCATCGTGCACGTCAACCTTTTAGTATTTTTGAAGTTCTCAACCATTTGAGGGCAAAGTGATCAGTTACGACGATAAAGGGTTTAGAGCTAAGATAATGATGAAAATTTCTAATAGCCCAAACTACTGCTAAACATTCTTGATCTATAATTGAGTAGTTTTTCTCAGCTTTGTTTATGATTTTGCTCGCATATGCAATAACATGTTCATTTTTATTTTCATCGAGTTGAGATAATACTGCTCCAAGTCCTACTCCT